ATTGATTTTTGAAGCACTTGATCTTAAGCATCCTGTAGTTAAATGCCATGTTGTTCCTTGCTCTAGACCTGCCGCCAACTAAGGCAGCACTACCTAAACAACCGATTTTTCCTACGATACAAAAAGATGATATTTTCGACAAAGTCTGCTATTACCGATTTCTATTAGGATCAGAAGTTTCTTAACTGTTAAATTCCATAGCAGTGGATAAATAACTTCTATTTGCAAATCTTTTTATTTACTTTGAACCGAGTCCCGCAGTTCATTTAGTTAACAGTTTTCGAATAGGATTGTGTATAATCCTGTTAGTTATTTTCATTGGAATCACTTTTTTTTTGATGTTGCTAAAAGTTCGTTCAGCGTGGATGTCTGAATATTGCCAATGCTACAAACGACGTCCCTGTCATTCATGTTCAAACTATTTCAGATATATGTATGTCCCTCAATGATGAAAAGTGTTTGGCCATGTGCTGCTTCGTATGCATTCACATACGCATCGTAAGCCAATCATATTTGGCAATTAGGTTTGCCTTGAAACTTCATCACTATATGTGAGAATAAGAGAAGCCCTGAGATCCTTTTTAACTAGGATATAAGGTGTAAGTCTTTCTTTTTTTGTCAAATTTTGGAGTTATTAATTTTATGCTTTTTGGATGTTATCAGACAACTACAATGAATCGCTGTCATTTTGAAGCTGATTTGTCCAATTGGGTTATGTTGACTATTCATTCACATATTGTACATATATATTTATATATAACATACATGCACAGGATAAAAATGAAATGAGGTTATCACACCAAATTTATTAAAAAATACAATTTGGTCTGTCACCACAGAATGAGGTGCTGAACTTTAAGATCTGCTACATAGAAAACAATATTGCATTTCTAGTCAATAAAAACTTACTTTACAAATTGGAAAAGCTCCGTTTTCAAAATAATTATCTCCGGTCTCAGTTTTTTTATAACCACTAAAACTGAAATAAAAAATAAATGCATTGAACTGAATTTTATTTTACAAGAAACTTAAATATACATAAAAGCAAAGCATACTTTTCTCTAATGTCATTATAAAAATTTTATCTCATAGAAACTTTTACTCCGGGAATAACTACTATTGTGCCATAAGTCGTTGCCATTTAGCCGGTGCAGAGGCTATCCCAAGCAGCATTCTTGTCAGTGGATATAACGCTTTGTGTGCCCTTACGGTTGATAAATGTTCTTCCTCAGGATGTACCTCCATCTGCAAATACGCTTTGGATGAATCGATTTTAATAAACTTTCTATGTCTCGCCGAACATAGACCTAAACAATTCCTCTATTGTAAGTAAAGAATGTTCATCGGTTTCCAATCCTGGATTTAGTGTGACATTATAATCACCGCATAATTGAACTGCGATATTTGCTTTAAATACTACAACCAGTGGTGGAGGCCATTCGCTAACACCACTGACGTTAACTTGAACTGCAATCTCGTTTTCTACTGTTTCGGGTAAAGAAAATTCCACTTTTCTGATGATCTTTAATTTTGTCCACTTTTACTGAAAACAGGTTAGGGAATTTATTAATTATTGTTTCTACGCACTCTTCTTTTTTTTTAGTTTCCATTTTACTGATCATAACTTCGTTTCTGTTTGCTTTTTTCACTAATTTTGTCCAGGTATACAATTACTCTTTACCTACCAACGGTTTTTTATCTGACTCCAGACTTTGGATTTTGGAACGTATTGGTAACATCTATATATATTATAGTGACTGGAGAGTCCGTATCCAATTCAAGTTCTATCTAATTCTATTTGACTATTGTTCACTTCGAGTACGCGCAAAATTTTTTTACATTTATTACTTAACCTTCTGTTTTCCGTAACCTGAAGTAATCACTGAGAAGATTCGGGCTGATGCAGCATGTCTCTTCAGGCGATTCTGCTGTCTGCGCGCCTTCTACAGTCTCGTACATCTAGTCCGGTTAATGCTCTCTTGACTTGATTAGTCCACCTCTACACCTTCTTCCTTTAACTACTGCTTCAAGTTCGCTGGAGCATTTTCAACCATTTTACGACATGAAAAGCGGCAAAGCCGCTGGATTTTAAATCGCTGAATTATAACAATGTCTTGATAAAGCTCATACACCACATGGTACATTCGAATGTGGTAGTCGAAGCCAACTTGTAGAGGACCAAAGATCTTACCAAGAACTTTTCTCTTGAATACTCCCAGTGTTGCTTCATCATTCTGTAAAAACGTCCATGCTTCTATGCCATAGAGAAGCACAATAAGAATGAGCGACTTATTGATCATGATCACGCTTACTACGCCGAATGATGTCAATACCGTCGGCGTAATCAAGGAGCTCGACACATTTGCAAAACGTCGTTTAATTACGATGAACACTTGCCCCGCGCATGATCACTTCCATGACGAAATTGAAAAGATCGCATCATAAGGGATCACCGTGTCTAAAACCTCGTACGATATTAAAAGGTTCGAAGAGACTCGATCCTACTTCGACGAAACTACGGGTGGTGCTCCACGTCATTTTGCAGAGTTGGTAGAGTTTTGCGCGGTAATTGCAATCCTCTATGGAGCTATCGAAAGCTGCTTTATAATCGATAAAAAAGTGGTGAGTGTCGATATCATGTTCGTGGACTTTTTCCATGATTTGTTGCAGTGTGAATATGTGGTCATTGGTGAAGCGAATAGGTCGAAATCCGCACTGATAAGGTCCAATGAGTGATTTGACGTATGGCTTCAACCTTTCACACAGTGCAGTTGAAAAGACCTTGTACGCGACCGGTATTAGGCTAAACTAGCAATAATTGGCACAAATCGGGTTGCCTTTTTTTCAAAACAGGACAAAGGGTACTGATATTCCAATCGCTGAACATACTTTTATCCAATCATGTTCTGCAGATAAGCTGATGCATGCATTGTATCAGCATATCGCCACCAGCCATGAGCAATTCCGCAGGTCATCTGCGCGAGTCGCTTTGTTTTTCTTTAGTCGCGGTATAGCACTTCGTTATGGCTATATGTTGGAGTTTCAACATCATGATTTTCGGTTGGGGACTCCCAAGGCAATTCTCCAAAGTTGGATAGTTGTTTGGAGAGTTGTTCCTTCCTTGCTTTTAGTACACTTTGTGTATCCGTAATCAGAGTACTATTTTCGTGTTTACAGGTTAAAGCCCCAGGTTTAATGCCTTCCAGACGGATGACTTTTTGATAGAATTTAGGGGCTTCATTCCTGTTTTTACACAACTCGACTTCATCTTGCGCGTGTCTTTTTTGATATCGTTTCTTTCATCTGGATAGGCACTTCTCCACCTTCCTCATCTTCCGAAACTGTTTAGTCACGGTTTGCATAACTACTTTCTATAGAGTCTTCGTATAGGCTGCGTTCTTCACAGTAGTAGTTTGACGACACTACTCATCGTACTATTGGTTTAGTTGCAGAGGACGTTGCGAACCAATCTTCCGCAGTTGTGCGTGGGGAGTGAGAGATATGTCCACATTGTCTACCGGCATTATCGGGGCTGTTTAATCGGCTGGAGAGTTGAGCGGCGATAACTTTTGCTGTCTTTTGTGATCGCAACTTACTGATGTTAAGTTTTTCTGTTTACGGGAGCTTACGTTGTTGGCGTTACTAAGCCACATGCATGCCTTGCCAGCGATACGGTAGTGGTCTTAGTCGATATTTGGTGGACCACGGAATAAGCGTAGGTCCAACACATTTAAAGCATGTCTTGCGTAGTTTTCTCTTCGAAATATCTATAGTAGCTTACATGGTATCTCTTCAGCTATTCGGTTTTTGCAGGTGAAAAACGCAGTATTTGTGCATCTTTGGTAGAAGGACCAAGTGATCGACGATATGAAGACGTTCGATACTACCAACTGATAACAGTCAGGCCAACTAAGTAAGTATTATAATTTGTTGTCAGTAAATATTACTATCATCAATTTTTTCATAGTATAACCAAATTTCTGCAACATTATAATATATAAATCGTACAAAACTATATAAATGAGATTACAAAATCAATCCCATTTACTTAAAATACTTTTTTTAAGTCTTATAGATACATAACACATATGAGTATTATTTAATATTTATCCAAAATATGTACTTACAGTTCATAACTGTACATATGAACTGTGAATGTACAGTTATATTTTCCAGAGGTACGTAAAGTATAAAATTTCGTCATTTTGAAACCAAAGCACCAATGCTCCACATACGGATGAATTTAATTGCAGTTGCTCTTAATAACATAACTCCACTGCACAGTGAAGGTTTATGGAGAAATTAATTGCAACTGGAGTGCAAGTCATTAATTTCCGTTAGTACTTCGAACAACATCATCAATTTCGTAAACTGAAAAGGCGAATGTAGTGACAAAGAAGGTAACTTTACTCTCTAACATGGAACTAGTCGCGAAAAATAGTACTGCAGCGAGCAGTTGATATTATGGATACAAAAATATTTCGGTGTAATTTTCATTAGATTTTTGATTTTTAATTCACTTTAACTTCAACGATATTTCATAAGAAAATTTAAACAAACTTAAACCTAAAACTAATCAATTTTGCTTCATTGGAAAATATGTACCAAGCGAAATACGTAAGAAATTGTGATGTGTATTCAAAGTATTCAGAGCTTATATTTTCTCGGAACTGGAGATAATGCAAAGAAAGGAAATAGTTTGACACAACCCAAGTTGGCGCTTTGATCTAGCGCCAACTATTGCTAGATCAAAGCTTATGTTTTCTCGGAACTGGAGATAATGCAAAGAAAAGAAATGGTTTGACACAACTATATAGTCAAAAAGAGAATATGAAAAGATTTAGATAATTGAAAAGATAATATTAATTGCAGAGTTCTGTTTGTCTTTTGTCTTTGTAAATATCACACTTTTGCCGATGCACCCAATGAAGTATATATTTCATCTAACAGTGATGCTATCAAAACTATTGAAATAATTAAGACAAGGACTTAGCTGTGAAATATGCAGATGCAATAATTGCGTTTTTTTATTACATAAATAAAATATGACCGAAAATATAATAAAATTTAGGCAAATTGATTAACAACTGATTGATAGAATAGCAATAAATTTGGAATTTGAAGATTTCTTAATTACGAGTACAATAAATTTCGGTTTTGTCCAAAAAGTTTTTAATGTATTTTTCCTAAATCACATTTGCACTTGTGATTTTCAAACCAACAACGTGGACAGAAGTCATATTCATGCCATATGTATCTGACGCCTTCCGGTTTAGTTTCGGCTTCCGCAGAATTATTCAGGCCATGGCGTGGATTAGTCACTTGAAAACTGTTTTGCATCTGAAGCATGCCACGCACACCTGCCGATCCACTTGCAGGCAATGCCATATAATCCATTAAAACTTCTTCATTAGCTACGTTTTCGAAATTGACTTGCCCTTTTTTAAGCTGTGCGTTACTAAGTTCTGAAATTGCTATATCTTCATCTTCAGATTCGCTATCTGAAGTCAGATTCAGGTTCATATCAGTACAATGAAAAATATACTCAGTCGCCGATTCACTACTATTCACACCATATTTGGAAGCTCTGTCTCTAATATCACGAGTGACTAAAGTAGAGCTTCTATACGGTTTTGATGGTTTTGTGGATGAACCCATTTTGATGACTCTGTTCATTAACTGCTTAGAGTTTTGAGCACCATCGTGTTCCTTAAGGTAGTTCTGAACACTCATTTTAGAAAGAATTTCATTGGTAGAAGAAATACTGAAGTCACTGGGTATAAATTGAAGAAATTTCTTACTTTTTTTGGCAGCAATATTTTGTTGTTCAAAACATGACACAATGTTATCAACAATTTCATCTAATTTACAATTGACAACAGTAGCAGCTTCTCTTAAAGCAAAAGAAGCAATTGGATTCTGATCATTTTGTTTTGAACTTTCGCAGGTACGGTGGTTCTTGCTAAAACCCGAATAGTTTTCTGAAATTTTATCAATAATTACATCGATTTTTGCTTTAGCCATCTCTGCGCCCATTATAAGGTCATACTTTGCAACATCACTGTAGATAGACTTCTTTTCACCAGAAGCAACGCATCTTACGCTGCTTGAATGCATGAAATGAGTTGCTTCCGGAATAACTGACGACATTGTCTGATCTAGTGTTGTCGAAATATGTCGACGTTTACGTTTCTTTGGTGGCAAATAAAGTGGCTTTTTCTTATTAAAAGAATGGCCACAATAACTCCTTTTACGCTTTTTTAAGAAAGTTATAATATTGTCACTACTATCAGAGTCAGTCAATATGAGGTTTCGAAGCAGCTTTGTAAGAGAAATTAATTTTAAATCAGTTGTATTATATTCTAATACAATATGACTTACCTTCCTTTTTTTATTTCCTTCATTTTCAATAAGTTTTAGCCCTTTTTCGCTATCTTCTAAATTATAATAATATCCATTGCACATTTCCACGAAACCAAATTTTCGGCCACCCGACAGCGCCTCTATTACTTCTTGTTCTAGTTTTTTGAGATCTGGCTGTCTTTTACGCTTCTTTGCTATATGCTGCGCAATTTCCTGCGGGGTGGACGGCGCTACTAGCTCTCGCAAAGCTTTCAAGACCTTCTTTCCATCAATAAGCATTTTATTTAATAATATATTTTTTGATTTCTACAACTACTTTCTTACGTCAAATTTACGTATATTAATATCATATCTCATATCTCACAACACTTAGAACAAAATATAGACAAATGAAAACTTGAAATTTGTGTTGGGATATTAAAATTTTTTAAACCCACTAGCCTACTTTAATATATTTTATTCAGATTCTAAATTTATAAGAAATGACAACTATGGTTGCCAACAGCTTCAACTTGTTTTACAAAATTTGTTTTATAATACCCTGTATACACTGACAACTATAGCTTTGTCTCGGTACGAGGTCATTTAGAGAATTAAATCCAAATGTAATTGTCCAATGTCGTTACATTATTGTACGGATTTATTCATAATAATATATTTATTTAATAAAATTCAAATTTTCTTCACTGCTGGTTTTGAAAATAATTGTTTGCGTCCAAAATTAAACTTTGTATGGACTGTGACATTTAGTTTAGAGACATACTGAAATATCAACCGACCAATCACATTTAATTTTGATCGAAAATTTGGTAACACTGTACTATTACTTTATTAGGCCTTTTCGGTGGCCACACTTGCTTTCGGTGGCTCGCAATTGTGGCAAAAAACAGTATGCTGGCCTATTGGCGCTAAGCCAAATATTTTTATCACTGCTGCAATCTGTCAAATGATATGTTTTGGCAAATAGCAAATTTTGTATGTCTGCATATCTTTATTTATTTATTTAATCCTAAATTTGTGAAACTTATTAAGGAAGGTTCACAATAGTTTGCTTATTGAGTTGGTAACCCTTTTTGCTTTGCTGGCTAAAGTGTTTGGCCACTTTCACAACTGGGTGCTTAGACAGTGAAAGTAGTGTTGTTGTTATACGTACATTATATGAAGGTTCACAATAGTTTGCAAATATAGGCGAGCAACTTGCTGTTTCTACCACACTTCCGAGCCACCAAAAGCACCTGTTATAAATTAAACAAATTCCTGATGGAAAAACAATGGTGAACAATAATTGCTTCTAACTTTTAATTTTAATGGTTTGATTCTATTTATATTTACATTTTTTTCTATATTTCATTAATTTGTATTGATATTTAAAGATGTGATTTTCTCCCTTTTCACTTAATTGCAATACTCTATTATAAACTATTTAAATCACGTGATGGGGACACATATTGGTCTGATCACACAAAAAAATAGAAAGTAAATATTATATATTATATTTGTAAATATTATGTTTTTCTAGAATGCAGGAATGGAAATATCATTCAAGAAAATATAATATAAGTCATCTAAAATCTTAGAAGATGCAAAAAATACAGATAATAAGGAGTATACTGATTAGTATGCGAGTTAAAAAAATTACGAGTTAAAAAAATTAAATAGAAAGATTAATAGAAAAAAAAAGCCGGTTGTCTGAACTCACATTGAGGTAACATAAGGAAGAGTAAAAGTACCAATTGTAAACAAAAAATAGAAAGACGTTAATACAAGAGAGTTCTGAGCATCCAGAGATATTAATTTCTGAGAAACAAGAATCTACTTCTATAAAGGGACTAATGGGAAACGTTATGAACATTTCAATGGTTTAAATATTTGAAATGAATCCACCATCCATTACTTTATTTAATAGGCATGTGACAGGGCGAAGATAATATTTAAATATGACATGAAATTAGTAAAATAATATTTAATCTTAACATAATTTAAATCTACACTGGAAATATATAATCAAATAACTAATAGTTCGATATAAGAAGGATATTTACTACACTTAGTTCCACAGCAGTGTTGGGCATATTTAATATTAAGGACTACGAAGTAAAATATTGTTTAAATCGAATTACTATCTACTGATTTATGATTCGTCGATTTGATAATCTTAGGCGACATATCAAGCTTCTTGATTTTTTTTGAATCAGAATTTTTTCATTTTTGACAATACAATTAGTATCACGAGACTTTTGTGAAATATAACAAATAGTTAAGTAAATATCAAAAAATAAAAAAACTCCAGCATTGTCAAAAAATTTTGGAGCATATTGCACATAGTTTAGTATAGTTTAGAATATCCTGTAATATAATATCAGAAAACTATTTTTATATATGTCTTTTAATCGACCGGGTAAACGATTAGGAACGCCATATTAAGCATTGTGATGTTTGATTGTTACAGGCATATCATCATATATATATATCTTGAAACTTGGAACGCACTACATGAACTGCCTCAAAATCAGCAGAAGTACTTGATATTCCAAATTGTAAGGTTAAATTGCATACCGACTGCATATCTGAAAGGTACTTTTTTGGACTACTTCACATAAGAAATAATAAGTAGATGTTTTTTCGTTATTTATTTAGGCATATCCACCGTAATAAATGCATGACATCAATATGTTAATAAACCGAAAAAATATACTAAATAAATCCGTATTCTACAGATATATCTAGCGAGATTTATTTCTGGGAATACTCACATAACGGCTATAAAGTTTCTACCTCATATATACTGTATAATAGATAATACTTTTTTTTATTTTATTGTTAATTTTAATTATTTGTTGAAACCAATTATATATCTACTATCCAATTTTTTTTGTAAATAATAAGAATGAATGAAGTTTTACTATACGAAATTAAAAGATATACATTGAACACAGAAAACACTAACTTTTTATTTGAATGGTTGCTTTCCTATATCAATATATGAGTTTATTAAGAATATCACATTTTTGTAAATTTAAATAGATATTTGAGGGTAAAGTTATGTTTCTTAGACCATCAGTTTAACAATCTATTATAAGCAATTTAAGTGATCAAATAATAAATAACTAAATAAAAAATAATTTTATTAATATTATAATTGATTTATTATTTTATGTAAATTGATTGAATTTTAAATAATTTTATAAATTTTATATAAAGAAAATTCTCCAATAAATTCAGATGATTGAATGTTTTAAGTAGTATTATTTAAAAGTTAATTAATTAAAAAGCAATCCATAGGTGATAATATTAGATATTCTCTATGACAGTAAAAAAAAAACAAAATTTTATAAATATGTTTTGTTTCAGTTCATATATGTATATATATATATCCTAATAATCTTATCCTTCCTGATTCCTCCTAATATAACTTAAATGTTATCGTTTAATTTATTCAATATAAAAATATTAAAATGATCAGTTAATATATAATGATAGAATTGAATTAAATAACTAATTGTTATTGTAGTAAAAAAAAATATAAAAAAACAAAATTAATTTATATAACTAAAAATACATATTTTTTTTTGAATAAAATCCTGCTAAAACATAAACTTTCCTAATTAATTCTAAAAAGTTAAAGTTGCCAAATTGGATATATTATTACATCTAAAAGTAAAATGTATGTATATTTATAATACTTTTTTAATGGAATAGATTGTGAATTATATTATTATGAATAATAAACTTTTTACATATAAATAATAATTTCTTAAATGATCTTTAAGTTAACAAATCAAAAAAATATTGTAAAATCTAATTAATAAAATTCCAATCATTAGATAAAGATTAGATAAAGCATGACATAAGTATGGTTAGCCCTAAAACCAAAAATAAACATACAAACTAATAAATAAGCTATTAATAATAACTAAACTTCTAATAATAAATAAAGTAATATACTAATTTTAATTGATAAGTTAAATCGATTTATTAAAAATCCGAAGGAGTTGAATTGAAGGAGTTGAAGAGTAATCATTCAACAAGAACTAAAATAATTATCAATTTAGCAATATATTGTGCGGCTGATAATATCATCTTTCAATGGAATTACACAATTCTGAAGAGGTGTAAATTTTGGATGACTATTAGGGACTATAAACGCAAATGAGGAGCACACATTATTTGATATGCCCTTAATTTCGTATTGGATGAGGAACCTACGTCAGATCATATAAATATGTACAAGCTTAATTAATTGTAAATTACCATAAGGATAAACATTTTTTGAGAACCAAAAAAAAATTACTATTCTCTTTCTGCAATAAGGAATAACTACGTTTCTTAATTTCATTAACTATTATAAAATCATATGAAATAGGTGGGTGTCCTATACAATTCTTTTCCTGCTAATCCACCAGAAACTCCACCAGAATGCTATTTTTTATATATATTTGAAATCATTTATATTTATATAAATATTTTATATATATTCCAAATAATTAATTATGGGTAATATTGTCTTAGTTTTATTAATTGCGATTTTTAAAAACAATTTGTTTTGTCACATAAAAAAATTGCGAAATTAACGAATTTATCCAATCAATCAAATTTTATATTAAATTATATTGTTATTGCTTGAATTGTTAAAGAACTTTATGTCATAATTAGACACAGATTACCAAAAACGTTTTTCGGTATTTTATAATTAACCCATTAAATAAATAACGACCTATCTGATCATAATCATAAAATTCACAAAAGTATAAGTTTTAAGGTTAAAATGAACATATTTTAAAAACATATGATATAAAATTAAGTTCTCTATTAAATTTTTTTTTAAATATTTATCAATTTAAATAAGTTCTATATTCAATTATAATTAATAAATTTTAATAATTGATTTAAATAATATTTTTAAAATAATACATTAATATAATGATAGCAATGTAAAGCACAAGGAACTGAAATAAATAATAAAAATAAATAAATTCTAATTGAAAGAAGAATATTAATCTTAAAAAATTACACAAAATAATATAATAATAAGCAAAATATTTAAATAATTAATTAAAAATCTTCTTCTATATTCAACATTGAATCTAGAAACTAAATCAGATTCACTTTTTTTGAACTGATAAAGACTTCTATTAGATTTTTCCATACAAAATCTTACTCAAAAAAATTCTATAAAACAAAATAAATCATATAGGTATATACAATTGACATTTTATGAAATCAACTAAATTAAATCCTTCAATTAAAAAAAATAAAAGAATACAAAATTATAGCCACTCTAATTACTAGAAAGTCCATGCAGTAATTATAGCGTAAGTCTCTATAATAATTAAAAAAAATAATAAGTTTAAATTAAAACTATAATCTTCTTCTCAATAAACGTATACATATTCACTAATATACTTATAAAAAAAATTAAAAAAAAATTAATTAAGAATATTTTGAGTTCTAAGATGGATAAGTTTATTATATTGTAAATAGCTTGATTGTATCACTGAACCGCGGTATAATTCTAAGAATTTTAACTGTATTTATACATTCATGAATTTGGATATATCCTATCCATACAGTCTTCATTCTAGGAAATTTCTGAAAGAAACACTTACTGATACACAAAAACATTGTAATAAACTTTCTAATTAAGAAATAATTTGTTTTTTAAATACCATAAATATTATTTATAATTTTTTAAAATTATAAAAAAAAAATTCTAACATCGGGGATGCAAAAAATTTCATCGATGAGAACTCTACAAACTAGTCATGTTGTTATCTCTAAAGTGAATAATTTTTTAGTCCCAATAATGAATCATTTATTTATAACTTAAAAAAATTAAGGTTGTAAGATGTTAATATAATACATAAAAATTCGACTAAAAAAATAATTATAAAATAAAAATATTATAAAATATTTTTTAAAAGATTTCAACATTAAGTCACTGAATCCAATTAAAATACGGAATATTAAATGGAATAAAAATTGATGTATATCCCGTTTTAAAGATATTCGAAGTTTTTTGACTGATGGTCTTTTTTTAATGTGCGATACTTCGTCGTTCTGTATCTCAGTAAACCTTTACAACGAATCCATAATTAATAAATTACTTAGATATAAAAATGAGTCATACACAGGGGTCACAAAAAACTTTCCGCAATAGGTGATATATATAAATAGTTCACCATTTATTATATATAATTGAAAAAAATGCAGATGTACTATTTGATCAAAATAGAACGAGAAGTTAAAAAAAAAACGCAAAATTTTAATTTTTAATCATTTTCTTTATTATCGCCTTCAAAATACTCTCTTCCTGCAGCAATACACGCACACCACCGCTTGATCCAATTTTCCATACAAATTTTATAGGCCGCCGAAGGTATGGCCTTTTATGTCCTCTATGGTCGCAAAACGCGTTCCTCGCTATGGCAATTTAAGTCTGGGGAAGGGGAAAAAGTCACACGGGGCCATATCTGGAGAGTACGGTGTTGGTGTTAGTTGATGATATTGGTGGAGTTTTTGGCCAAAAACTGTGACACAACCAACGCTGTGTGAGCCGGTGCGTTATCGTGGTGTAAAATCCATGAGTTTTCTTTCTATAAATCTGGCCTCTTTTTACGAATAGCCTCACGCAAACGACGCATAACGACTAAATAATACTCCTTATTGACCATTTGACTATCCGGAAGGAATTCATAGTGTACCACACCACGAATATCGAATATCGAAGAAAACATTCATCATAACCTTTATTTTGGACCGTCTTTGGCGTTCTCTTTTCGGCTTCGGCTCACCTTAAAAGAACCATTCGGTCGATTGTTGTTTGGTGGGCATGTCAAATTCATAGACTCATGCCTCATCACCAGTTATGATGCGTTCGATGAATGTAGGGTCACTATCTACGTTTCTGCGTTGGAAATGATCTCTTTGGCCACATCACAACGACGCTTTTTTTGAATAAAATTTAGCTAAAAATCGCCATACGAAAATTTTTTGACTTCTTCGTATAGACGCCAAAAAAACTAATTGTACGATATGCGTTAAACTTTGACAGAATGTACATTAAGACTGAAAAGTTTTCGGAAATTCTCATTTAAAATTCGCGCGCTGTATATTTTTCGATATTTTAAGTTTATGTAGTTTGGCAGCACTGTCCTTAATTACTATGCAAAAAATGAGCGCGATCTGTCAGACAGTTCGTTTACGGCAGCTGTTGAAACCAGTTCACCTCAGTAGTGCGTTGCGAAATGTCTTCGACGGTCGTACGACCGTCCTGGAAGGCTTTGTACCACTCATAAACTTGAGTTTTCGATAAAACTGATTCCCCATAAGCCTTTTGTAGCATTCGCAACGATTCTGCACACGAAATTTCGTTCGAAACACAAAATTTGATGCAAACTCTTTGTTCAATATTTTTTTCCATTGTTTTTTCGCAACGCACTACTGAGGTGAACTGGTTTCAACAGCTGCCGTAAACGAACTGTCTGACAGATCGCGCTCATTTTTGGCATAGTAATTGTCCCTAATTGCTGCCAAACTACATAAACTTAAAATATCGAAAAATATACAGCGCGCGAATTTTAAATGAGAATTTCCGAAAACTTTTCGGTCTTAATGTATATAATAGTATTGCCAGCGTGAAAATAAAAAAATTTTACCGATTGGATAAGCGCGGGAATTCGAAAAAAGAACGAATAAGTTCTTTTTTGATCACAAGGTATATGATTAGTTTACCATTATGTATTATATATATATAATATATAATTGAAAAAAAGGCAGATGTATATATTTTTTTTATTTAATAACATATTCATTTAATGTGAAATATTCACAGAACAATCGTTAGGTAATTAATACAAGATAAAGATATTTGATTTTTAATGATTTACAAGAATGACAATTTTTCTTCATATCTGGAAGAGTTCCTTTGTTTTCAAGTAGTATCAACTACTCTTTTTAGATTTATCGAACTTTCTCATTATCATTATTGAATATTGTGCAAGGAATGTGATATTAGTTTTTTGCATTAATCTTAAATTCTTAATAATGTTAACTTTGATACTATGTGAAATGTGTAGTGTTATGTGTTCTAAAAGCTTTATTTTGATATATGAAAAGTTACTTAAAACTTTTTATCTTTACGTTTTTTATGTTTCTTATTAGTGCACGGCTTAAATTCGACAAATTTTGATAAAAGTTTTTAATTTTGATGGCAACGAGAAGACTTATTGGAGTAAGGTTGCTGATATGCCTTTCTTCTCGTTCTAATATTCTTAAAATATTTTCTTATTCTTTGTTCCCTTTCTACCTTTCTTTGTGCCATTGTATTTTGGTACAACTTTTTCATTTTTAGTTTCAACTTTATCATCCATATCAGAGTTCTTCCCTGTATTTTGAATATTATTTCCATCACCATCTTTATTAAAAATCTTTACTTGATTTGGGGACTTTTCACCAGTGGTAAAAGCTTTGAAATTTTGCTTTGCACTTTGCTCCAAAGTTTCACCAGCAGACTTCATCACCTTGCCATATTTCTTAACAAACTTCTGATCATTGTATAGCTTTTTGCCTACCCCATATTGCAATTTGTCATTCCTTTGAGATAGTTGTAGATTTGCACCCAGGCCTTGGTTACCAGCAGTTACAGATGGCGAAACATTTTCACTCAAACCCTTTGCATTGAAATTGTTTTTATAACATTTTGGCTTAACTTTATTTGCATTCTCTTTAATTAATCTAGTCATCTTTCCACATTTAGGACCAGCATTCTCAATGGATGATGTATCATCAATTTTGAGAACGTGATCCTTGACGTCAGACTGACCTTTCTGATCTACCGCACCTTTTTTATATCCCGGTACACGGAGAGCTTGTGTAGCATTCCTTTGCGATAGTTGTACTTTTGCACCCAGGCCAAGATTACTAACATTTGTAGGTGGAGAAGTTTTCTTATTCAAACCCTTTGCATTGTTTAGTTTATGACTTTTGAGTTTAACTTTGTTTGCATCTTCATTAACCAATTTAACCATCTTTCCACATTTGGGACCAGCATTCACCGTGGGTGATGTATCACCAATTTTGAGAATATCATCCTTAACCGTTGGTACACGGAGAGCTTCTGTAGCACTCCGTTGTGATAGTTGTACTTTTGCACCCAGGCCAAGATTACTAACATTTGTAGGTGGAGTAGTGTTCGTATTCAAACCCTTTGCATTGTGTTTGTTATGACTTTTGGGCTTAAATTTACTTGCATCCTCTTTAACAAAACCAACCGTCTTTCCACACGTAGTGTTCTCATCACCGATCTTAAGAACGTGATCTTTAAGGCTGTTCTGACTTTTGTGTTCCATCGCTTGCTGTGTTGGAATAGTGACTGCAGACTTTTTTTTAGTGCAATTATTTGTCAAATTTTTACGTATGGTGGAGTTTTCAATTGTCTGCTCCAGCGGTGGATCACATGCAACATATGACAAATAGGTCACACCTTTTTGATCGACAAAATTGTATCCATCATATATATTAAGAAATTTATGTAAATATTTTCCATCAATTTCAATTTGTACATTACTTGTTGCATTTTCTAAAGACAAGTCTGCATCAAAAAAGCGGAAATCATAGTTTTCGGGGACTTCACCTGCCTGTTCGAGAAATTCTTTTTCGGTCATCGAGGGTGGTAGGTTCATGATCATCAACTGTAAAGAAATATTTGTTTTATATATGCACATTTGCACATTCATGTGCAGTATCCGATATATGTATTTCAGCTTACCAATATGCTATTTTTTTTACATTTTCGTTTAGGTTTTTTTGGTTTCTTGGTTTGAATAGTAGAATTTAAGTCAGCCATTTAAGAGAATACCTATATTCAGGATTATCTTTATTAAAACAGCACAACTTTTTTAATAAATTTTATACTTTGCACAATCAGAAAAAAATTTTCTTTCCAATTAGCCACGTCATGATATATACTATCCTTTGGCATACTGTTTTTTCTTTTTTTACACACCAAAGAACATTTAAAATATTGGACATATTTTCTTTGGATATTCTTTGTTCGTTGCAGAACACAAATTTGTTTTCCACACGTAATAATATTAATTATATTATTAACAAACTGATCTGTATATTGAAATAATTGTTGTGAATTAAATAAAACTCATTATTGTAGTTTAGTTTATTACTCTCATACAACTCCCGTATGACAATTCCCATTCATTAAAGAAGTTTTAAATAAAAATATTAGCCCAATCAATAGATTTTGGTCCTTAATAGACAGTTATGTTGTAATATCTGGACATATAATATTTTTGATAAAACAACATATAGGCCGTGTGCAAGTTCGAGTAAATTGAGGTAAATAGTAAATTATGTCGTCATGGCAGGGAATGTTGGTATTTACCAGAATTAGGGTAAATTAGATAAAAATTACGTAAATTAGGTGATACCATTGTAAAAATTTTATAAGATATTTAATAAATAAATTTTAAAACTTTTAACCAAAAATAATAAATGAGTGCAATAAATAAATAAACAAATAATTACATAATTGGAGTGCAAAAAATCCCTAGGAAATTTCAATTTACTTTACCTCAATTCACTCAAACTCGCACACGGCCATACTAATTAAAATTTTCAATAAGTATTTTTATTCTTTGGTGCTGTTTCTATTAGTTGTTTTTTTTGGCTATTTATCAAGAAAAAATGAAAATACGGTTGTTTCATGCTAGACTGCAGATATAGTGATAATGAAACCATATATGAAGTACACTTTGGTTTTTTCTCTTTTACTAAACTGCATCAGAGTATAAAAAAAACAATCAAAACATATAAAAACTGATGAGTATCACCAACAAGTATATAATCATACTCTTTGTTTATATACTCTTTGGTATCATTAAAGACGATTCAATATATAATAAATTAATTAATTTATAGGAAATAAATAATCATTATTTAAGTTTTAATAGTTTAACGAAAGCATTTCCAAATATGCAAAAACTAAAAGTTCTTTTCTATTTCTAACAGGAGTTTCAAATCGTGCCTTTAGAATCATATGTTCATTACTATTATATGTATGTGAATATATTTATATCCTCTTTACTTCACATTGTCTCACTAATGTCGCTCTGAGAATTTGAGTGAAAAATTAAGCCTAGAAAGGGTCTACTAGTAGGATGATCGGTGAGTTTGTTCCTGAAGCGCACTCTATGTATTAAATATTCTTCGGCTCTGCTTAATATCGTAAACAAAATTTTACGGCATCCGATAAACAAAATCGCACCAATTATCGCAAAAATTATTAGGATCGGTTCGGATAAGGAAATTGTTTACTGTTGAAGACACACTCAAACGTTAGAAGCAATATGTTTTATCAATGTGCACCTAGAATCTCCAAACTCTTTGCAGAGAAGGTGCATATATACAGCTGATTAAGATTGTCAAGAAATACAAGGCTGACATCACCGCTTTGCTGGAAATGCGATGGACGGTACAAGGATCCTTTAAACGAGAGCATTGTGGCATCTGCTATAGTTCCATGTAACAAAGCAAGAATTCGGTGTAGAATTTGCGGTAAGCCGAAGGTTGAGATATTTGGTCTCAACCTTCACTCCAATAAACGAAAAGTTTGTTAAAATCTGTATTAGGGTAAAATATTTTTTACATTAGCCTAATTTGTACCTTTGTCCCCACGGAAGATAAAGATGACGACATCAAGCAAACTTTATATGATCAGCTTAAACAAGCATGCTGTCCTCATCATGATGTCAAAACGATTGTAAAAGACTTCAACGCAAAGAAGTGATCTTTGGTGCTCAGTTCAGCTCAGAAAAGTTTACTGATGTGACAGAAAGCGAAGATGAATTGTGATTCCATCTACCGATCATAATGAACTTAAACAGCTGCAATGCGACTTGTTAGAAACCAATTTATTAGCGATCACATTTGTTTAAATATTTATTTATTTATGATTGTAGTGATGTAATTATGCTTTAAAATCTATAAGATAAATGCATTTAGTATTAATACTTAAAATAAATTATTTTACTTACTCTTGGTCGCTGCCACCACCTTGCTTGGCAATTCATATATGCACTGGGTTGCATTTGGCAATAATAAACTGAACAGTTGCAATAACTAAAGAAATTTTACAAATATTTTAAGAAGCGGAGTTCTAGCACGGCTCAAAAACAACAAAGCTGTAGGTGCCGATGGTTTACCGGCTGAGCTGTTTAAAGCTAAAAGCAAAGAGCTATCAAAATACGTACTACAGCTAATTCGCACAATACGGTCGGATGAATGCATTCCAAATGACTGGAATGCCCTACCCACCAAAATGGTGATCCTGCAAACTGCACCAACTATAGCGTGATCAGTCTTTTAAATATCGATTATAAGGTCAAATGTACTAAGTGAAGGATTGAAGCCAATTGTTAACCAACTGATTGAACCTTATCAGTGTGGCTTCAGTTCTGGCAAATCGACCATAGATCAGACATTCACAGTAAGTCAAATTCTGGAGAATACCCAAAAAAAACAAATCGACACACATGCACCTACTTGTCGACTTCAAAGCTGCTTTGGCACTACGACTAGAAGCACACTCTATGCCGCTACGTCTGAATTTGATATCCCAGCAAAACTTATACGGTTATATAAAATGACGTTGATCAACATCACCAGCTCCGTTAGTATCGGAAAGAACCTTTCCGAGCCGTTTGATACCAAGCGAGGTTTCAGACAGGGTGACGCCTTGTCTTGTAACTACTTCAACCTGATGTTAGAAACGATAATTCGAGCGGCAGATTTAACACAAGTAAAGTACAAACTGAGAGCATAACACAAATAAAGTGCCAAATTACGCTCTTTACACAGCTTTTCATGGAACAGCTTTGTGTAAAGTCTGGTGAGCACACCAGTACCGCGCAATTAAACAATACAAAAATTCAAATTCATGATAAAACAGCTGATACACACATACACAAAAGTTTTTCTCGAGTAAAGTCTGTATAGCTTTTTTAAATTTCGACAGGGATGTTATGATCTCTCAGATGCTCTCATGTACTTGAAAATTTGCTGGTGGAATGCACAGTGTTACTCAATATTACTACGAGTAGCTCGTGGAACAGACCTATTATGTATATAGAAATATAGCATTCCATGAAGTATGAGAAAATGCAACCCTGTGACTTGTTGGCTGGATGAACACCCTTCCATATTTTGTTGAAAGGCATTATATGTTGTTTAAAATTAATTTTACGGAATTTGTTTTAAATTTCACAATTAAATTGTGTGCCATTTATTAGCTAAGGGTAAATACGTAAATTTTGTTACAATACAACTTCATTTATTCGTGTTTTGTTTGGTTTCAATTATATTGAATTTACTCCTTTTCTGTATATACGCAAATCATCAAAAGTAAAATACATTTTTAACTCTTTTAAGATTTTTGGTAATATGGAGCGGGACCAGAATGAAAGGAATGTTGTTGAACTAGATTGGCACCGGTGGTGTCGTCTATGCGCTAAACAGGATTCCAACAATTGCAGTGTTTTTTCTTGCAAAGAGTTAGATGGAGTGGATACGAATATTGCTACCGCAATTGGAAAATATTTTTGGGTGAATGTGCGTGATATTCCATATAAAAGTGACAATTTTACTAATTCATTTTTTTTTTGTAGATCAAACGTTGCGATGACTTGCCGAAAACTTTATGTCATGAATGCTATGGCCTAATATCGTCATTAATATCTTTCACTGATAGAGTAAACAAGGTACAATCCATGTACTCTGTTTTGCAAAACTTGAATACTAATGAAAGGAGTATGCTTATAAAAGCGCGTACACAATATGGACTAATAGATAATGAACGTCGATTTATATTTAAAGAGGAAGTGTTGAATGACAGCTTAAATGGTTCAACAGAAAATGATTCCGATGAAATAGGAAAAATTTATTACGAAATCGAAGAATCAGAAGAAGCTACTGATGAGAAAGCTATGTTAGAAGAAAAATATACATACATAGAATATTCTAATCAAGACGACTTAAAGCATAGCCGTACACGGTTAGTCTCTAGTTTGGATAGAGAACAAGAACATCGGAAAACTGCAAGAACTGCTACAACAGACATTGACAAAAAATCTAGTGCAGCTGTTATAGAAGAAGTTAACGATATGGAAGTTGATAGTTTTGAGATATACAGTGAAGGTGATTACAAAGTTGAAGCTGATGAACATGATGATGACATTATTGATAATAAAGAGGTTGAAGATGATGGTGACACTGAGTTGGATACTGAAGCGGAAACAGAATTTTATACTGAACACGATGCTGAAGTAGATACTAAAAATAGTCATATTTCAATTGATGAAGATCATGATGACGCAGATATTGACTATTTATCGCAACAACAAAACGATGACACGAAGAGTGAATCGTTTTCACAATCTGTTACTGAGTCGCATTTAAGTATATACGATGAGGATTTAAGGTTTACTTGCAAACACTGTAATCGAATATATAAAAATCCTACATCTTACCGCAAACATATGATGGTCATACACGATGTAGAACCAGACATTCCAGAATTTATATGTTCTCAATGCAACAAAGTTTTTATTACGGTAAGGCAATTAAATACTCACATACGAACACATTTGCCACCTGAGGAGAAAATGAGAACACCGTGTCCGCATTGTCCAAAGAAATTTTCAACAGCTGCCGTATTGAAACAACATGTCGCTTGCGTTCACTCAAATCATACTCCATTCATTTGTGACATTTGTGGTAAGCGTTTGAAAACACGAGCAGCTTTAAATGAACATAAATTTGTTCACACTAGTGATTGTCCCTTTGAGTGCGATGTATGTCATAAGAGATTCAAAAACAAGGC